CACATCCGGCCGCCACACCCCCAGGTGCTGGACCCAGAGAGGGCAGGCTTGCGCCCACACAGCCAGCCACCCACAACACGCACGGGGCTTTATTCCAAACAGCCTTGGACAGGGGAACAGTTACGCCCTCACACATCCACAGATCCGTGCCCAGGACAAGCAGGACGGTCACAACCGCCTGGAAAAAGGTTCCCTGCGTGGATGTGACAGTCTTGACGTGACAAAGTCACAGAAACCGGGAACAGACTAAGGGTCCCCAGGACGGGAGGGGAGGGCATGGAAAGAGGTGGGCGTGGCTATAAAAGGGAGGAGGCTGCACGGAGGGCCTGGGTTCCCGTCTGGCTCCACTTCTGCTTCCAGCTTCCTGCTAACATGCGCTCTGGGAGGCAGCATCGACCTGCAATGGACCAGGATTGAGCTCCTGGCTCCTGGCTTCAGCACGACCCAGCCCCAGCTAGTGTGGGCATTTGGAGAGTGAACCCACAGACGGGAGAGCTCTCTTTCTGCCTCCAAAATAAAAAATAAATAAATAAAACTTTTTTTAAAAAAATTAAGGACAACACAGGGGTAGCACTGTGGTGACAGAAAGGTATGTGTATCAGGACTGGCTCGATGCCAACATCCTGGATGTGACGTTAAACTTCAGTTTCGCAATACGTAACTTTAAGAAAAACTGGCAACAGGCACACAGGATCTCCCTGGATGACTGCTTCACCCTGCAATTGGCTATAGTCATCCGAAAATATGAAGCTGACTGAAAGACAAAAGGGGGAGAAGGAGAAAGAGACAGAACCTACGTCTTTCTCCCTGTTTCTGCTGCCTGCATGCAGAGGTGGCAAGCAAACATGAAAAAGAACTATCCTCACACTCTGACAGTCCGATCAGATGCCTGATCGTCTCGGTGAACACTGCCATCACAATAAATTTAAAATTTTTATGTTTCCAAAGTGAAACCAGGTTTCCAGAAACATAATATGCCCTAATTTGGTTTTTCTGCATGCTACAGTGAATGAAAATGTTCACATTTCTACTTACTTATGGTCAAATCTAATTTTTCTTCCCCAAAGCAGCAGCTTGCTTGCTACTCTAGATGACACAGGAGATCGCTCTCCAACTCCCACGTTCCCAAGGCTGTTACACTACTCACGCGATCATCGTCACTCAGAGCTAACAAGGCGCCCACGAGTCACGCTCCCCACATGGAGCAGGCACCCTCTCCCAAGGAGGGCAAGAGCACACCACGAAGGAACCAGCTCCTGAAGGCACAGTCCCTGGCACCCATGACTGGTAAACAGACAGGAAGTCACCCCTCACCAGGTTTCCAAACTTCGTGCTTCATTAAAGATTAGTAAAAGTGGCGCTTAGCATAACCCCAAACACGGCACACAGGGCTCTGCTGACGTTACCCCTGAACCCTCACAAGTCCGCAGTCAGCAGGCTTGGCTCCACTTTACAGACTAGAAGACTGAGGTGAGGAAGTACGAGTTCAAGGGGGACAATAAGAGCCAGGACTTGAATGAGCCTGCAGTGCCCATGCCCCACCCCCTTTGCCAGCTCTCCATGGACGAGGCCAGAGAGAAGAGCACACACAGACTACCTCCAATCCGCTTGATAGCAGAGCCCAAGGCAGGTGGAAACCTCGCCCCCACCCCATCTCTGCTGGTTTTCTACTTGTGCCTCACCTCGGCAGCTTATCACCACCAAAGTCAGCACCCCGGTTCTACACGCCAGCTGCCTGGAGGTTCTGCCACGAACCCGACTCCGAGTTCTGGGTGGTGTAGAACGCAGCTCTTCGTGACCCCTGGATCCTTGCTGCCAGGCAGGGGCCACCCTCAGCTCCCTGAGGCCTTGCTCTGGTCCCTGTAGGTGAGCCCCCGTCTCAGAGCCAGCAGCTACACCTGGAGGCCTTCCTGGGGCTGCTCCCCTCTCCCAACCGCTTCTGCAACCAAGTGGCTGACCCAGGATCACAGCCCCCGGGGCACGGTTTAGAGCTCAATTACACCTGCACAGTCCCTCTGCCAGGGGACGCGACATAATCCAAGGACCTGGGGACACCAGGGGCACCTGTGGGGCCACTGTCACTGAGCAGTGGGCAGGTGGTCCTCATGTGTGCCTCCAGGACAGGCTACCCCTTGACACCTATCAAAGGAACTGGGTGCACCAAGAATGTTGGGGATGGAAGACCCCGCCTGGCTGGAAGGTGATGGTAACGGTCACGTGTCCAACCCAGGGTGACAGCCAAGTCGAGGCTCCTGTCTGCGTTAACAAGCCTGGACCATGAACAGGAGCCACCACACCCAGCCCTGGTGAGTGAAACACAAGGAACCCCCACTTCCTGCCTCTGTATCAGGAGCCAGGTCAGCTGTTTACTCCTCTCCTCGTGTTTTTTGAAAATAAATAAATAACTGAAGTGTCTCATTTACAAACAATGTAACAGATTCCAAGGACCTGCGAACAATGAGCTGTGATTCATGTTTCCAAATGAGATGGAGTTTTACCATTCTCCTTCCCTTGTGATTCACCGTCCCTGCGCCAGGCCTGGGGAGGGAAGCCCGGCCCGCCCACCCCAGCCCCTCCAGGGAAACACAGTCCTGTTGTTAGGCTCTCAAAAATCTGCTGAAGTTGGTGGGGGGGGGGGTGCCAGTATTTTTCCCTGAGACAGAAACAACCAATTATCTAAGCTGAAAACACCTCCCAGGGCTTACCTCCTGGCCACTCGGGCCTCTGCTGAGACCCACCAAGACCCTCACTCCACAGTGCAGTGACCCCAACACACCTGATCCAGCTCCCCTTCTGCCCAAAGCCAGAGTTCAGCCGCCCGCCTCCCTGATGGGGGCACCAGTTATGGAGCGTGAGGGCGTTTGGTGTCGACTGGGGCTGCGCTGCCACGTCCCCTGGCTCAGCTTCCACCCGGGGAAGGGAAAGGCAACAAGACCCACGGCCGCCTCTACCGGATGGTGACACACGTTTGTCCTACAACTTCACAGCAAACCCACCCCGCATACTCTTCTCCTTTGGAAACTTTCTTTAAACCGAGGGGTCAGCGAGAGGCGAGACCATAGAAGTCACTCGTGGCAAAGCTTCAGGAAGGTGTGTGGCTGATGAGAACACAGCTGCCGTCTGCTCCCTGGCCCCCTCTCTAGCATGGAGACCCTGCCCACCTACCTGTGGCTGCTCGGTCTGGACTTCTCTAAATGGCCAGGGCACCCTGGGCAGCGCTCACCTCCACTCCGCACCACTGCAAGGGCCTCAGGAGGCTACTGAGGTCCCTCTCAAAATGTGGTGCTAAGAAACCCCCCAGCCCCCTCCTGTGTGTCCTGTCCAGTACTCAGGACACAGATCCCAGAGCAGACACAGGTCCCCAGGTGATACACAGGACGCAGATCCCAGAGCACAGACACAGGTCCCCAGTACTCAGGACACAGATGCCAGTGCTCAGGACACAGGTCCCCAGGTGATACACAGGACACAGATCCCAGAGCAGACACAGGTCCCCAGTACACAGGACACAGATCCCAGTGCTCAGGACACAGGTCCCCAGTGCACAGATCCCAGAGCAGACACAGGTCCCAGTGCTCAGGACACAGATCCCAGAGCAGACACAGGTCCCCAGTACTCAGGACACAGATCCCAGAGCACAGACACAGGTCCCCAGTACACAGGACGCAGATCCCAGAGCAGACACAGGTCCCCAGTGCACAGGACGCAGGGGAGCGAGGCTGAGCCTCTCTGGAGCTGCTGGCTGCTTCCTCCCCTGGCCTCCCACCTCCCCCGCCTGCTGCAGCTCCTGCTTCCTCTACCTGCTCCCTGCTCTCAGCCCTCAGCTCTCTCCTCTCCCCTCTCCCCCCTTCCCCCAGCCCCGGAAGCTCTTCCCAGCAGGGCCCCGCAGAGACCACCCCCAAGCCTGGCAGTCGGAATCTGCAAACTGCTGGCCGGCGACTGCCACCCCTCAGCCTCAGTGTCCCGGCCTGCCACGTGCCGCCAGCTCGGCCACAGCAGTCCTGAAAGCAGCGCCCCAGCAGAGTGTGGGCTCCAGTCAGGCCCCTACGGCTGCCCACACCTGACCTGGCGGGGACCCGAGAGCAGAGCGCCCTTAGCAGGGGGGCCGCCCGAGAAGCTGCAGGGGCCAGGGTATGTCGAGTGCAGGAGCGGAGGCTGCAGAGACACTCCTGGCCGAGCACGCGGGGTGCCCTGGGCGCCCAGCTGCTGACTCTGGCCTGGAGAGACAGGCGGGGCAAGAGGGCAGGGAAGCAGAAAACCAAGCGGGAAAATCGGATCCGGGCCCGGCGCTGCGCCCAGGTGGGCGGGTGGCGAGGAGGAGGCGCCCCCCAGGCCTGGGCCGGCAGTGGCCGGGCAGCGGGGTGCGAGGTCTTGTTTCACAAGCATCAAAGCCTGGCTCTCCGGAATGTGTACTGGGGTCTGCACGTAAACTCGCAACCCGACCTCCCTTACCGCCCCCCCCCCCCGCCCTCAGGAAACGACAAAGAGCGGAGCAGAACCAGGTCCCCGCCCTCCGAACCGGGCGCCTGGCAGCTCCTCCCCGAGGGTCCCACGCCGAGCACGGCAGGGCCACCCGGGGCCGGGGCCACCCTGGCGGACGCGGAAACACACAATTCTCGATGCTGACCACTGCGCCCCGAGACCGTCCAGCCCGGGCCCGGGCGCCAGCCACACAAGTTCCCCCCAGGAAGCCCACGGCGCTGCGTAACAATGACCCCCGGGGCTCCGCGCGCCGCGGGCAGAGCGGGGAAGCCCGGGAGACGGGAAGCGCCGCCCCCGCGGTGCCCGCCCGGCGGCTGTCGGAGGGGACCCCGCGGGAGCGGACCCTCGCCCTTCCCCGCGCGTCCAGGCGAGGGGCGCGCGGCCGGTGCGGGGCGCGGAGCGGGGGCGCCTCTTCCCGCCGGCGCCCCGCATCCCAGCCGCCGGGTGGCCGGCAACAGGCTGGGGCGCCGGCCGCGGAAGTTGGGGCGAGAGGCGGGCGGGCCGGGCGCGCTGCTCACCCACGCCGTACTTCTCCTCCCTCTTGGTGGGGACCCAGCGCGTCATGGCGCCGCCGCGAGAGCCGCCGGTCGGGCAGGAAACTCCGCGCCTAGGCCGCCATTTTCCATTCCTTCCGAGCCGCGACAGGATGGGGAGGAAAAAGTTTGCGGCGGAGGCGGCGTCATGTGGGACGGGGCGGGCGGGGCGTCGCGGGCCGGATGGGAAAGGCCGGGAGCGCCGGCGAGAGGCGGGACGGCCGCGGGCTGTGCGCCCGCCCCGCGCCCCGGCCGGGTCCGCAGACGGGGAGCGCGCGCAGGGCGCCCGGGCCGGCAGTGCCTGCGGGGAGAGCGCGGGCTCCCGCCCAGAACCGGCGGGGATTCCGTCCAGCGCGCGCGGGTCACTTCCCCGCCGCCACACTCTTCCGGGAGCGGCCAGCAGGGTGGGCAGAGGCGGCGGGCGCCGTGCCCTCCGCACCTGGACGCGCGCGCTGGGGCCGTGCGGCCCGGGCCGAGGAGCGCTGTCCCGAAGGTGACCTCCGGCCCCCCGCGGGGAATGAGTGCAGAGACCTAGGGCGGCCAGGAGGGAGAGGCGGGCGGAACCCTGCGCGGACCCGGAGTCCCCAACCCACTGCGCTCGCGAGTGCGCCCGCCCCACTCCGTGGCGCGCGGGGTGTGAGGACGGGGGGGCGGGGCCGGGGAAGCCCGCGCCGCGCAGGTGTGCGCAGGTGCGCGCCACCTCCCGGGGCCTCGGCTCCACCCTGCGGGAGAGCTGCTCCGGGACTCCCGAGTTTACCGTGGCACACCGGGAGGTGCAGGCTCCGGATTTCTGCCAGGAAGCAGAAAAAACCCGTTGGTTTTTCCCGTGAGTTCAGAAAGGACTAAGCAGGGAAACCGGGACGAGGAGGACGGAGCCTCCGGACGAAGGCGAACGGGGAAATGGAGTGAGTTGGGTTTCATGGCGTTTGTACCCTGTCCCCCCTCCCCCAGCTCACACTCCAAGGAGCAGCCAGGACTGCCCTGGGCCGGGAGCCTTCGAGGGTCGGAGGAACGAGTTAGGGGATGCAAGGCTCCGCGCAGAGGCTGGGCATCCCCAGCTTCCACCCAGAAGGCGGCTGGAGAAGCACCCTGGGCGACTGGGGGACTTGCGACTCTTGTGGGTGACAGAAGTGGCAGGCTCCTTGCTCCTAGGGCACTTAGGCCCCACAGAGAGAAGCCGCGGGGCTCCCGTCCCACACAGCCGCGGGCAAGCCTCCCGCGGGGATCAGAACCCACAGGGACTCCGGTGGTGTGACCATGACCCCTTGGAAGGAGAAGTGGGGTGCTCCGAGGAGAATGACAGGGTGGCCTGACCGCCCATAGGCCAGGACAGGCTTCCCGGGGAAACCAGCGAGGCCAGCACAGACCAGGGAGGTAAAGTGGAGGAGGCCCGGGGGTGCGCCAGGACTGAATGGCTGACACAGGGCTCAACAGCAAAGTCACTGGTGAGGCTGGGGAGGTCGAAAGGCCTTGGAGATCCGCAAGGAGAAACGGTGTTGGTGACATTTTGCCCACTTTGTGGGCAGCCAGGTGGAGACTTCACACATACAAAGGGCTTGAACAGGGTCGCTGCGGCTGTGTGGCGAGGCACCGTTTCTGTTCTGTTCATGTGGTTGCGTGGTGGGAGATGGTGTGCGTGGTGAAAGACCTTGAGAGTCACCCAGACAGCACCAGCTGTGTGCCTGCTCCCCGTCTGCACCTCACCCTTAGGGCTCTGATGTTGCCACGCAAGAACCAGGGTGACACGGCCAGCCCTAGGTAACCCCACGTTCCACATCTGTGCATTCAAGCAACCGTGGATTTAAAAATTGGAGTCGGTGGGGAGGATTGCCTCTGTATTGAAACTGTGTGGATTTTCTGTCATTATTCCCTGCACAATACAGTGTAGCAACTATCTATAAAATGTTTACATTGTATTAGCTGTCATAAGTAATCCAGAGATTAATTGGAGTATATGCAATAAAATGTGTAGGTTCTGTGCAAACACTGTCACTTTCCTGTGACACCAGCTCATTGAGAAATGAGCTAAGCATTTCCATGAGAGACCTGAGCATCTGCAGAGTTTGGAGTCCTCTGGGGGTCCTGGACTCAATTCCCCAAAGGGCAACTGTGATTCCAGACTCGGGTTATTCTGAGGGCCACTGTGGCCGCCTGCTCAAGCCAAGGCTGTTTGTCTGATAACCCCCATGGTTCTCGTTTCCTGGAACATTTGCCACTGATCAAAGTGACCACTGCGTGCAAAAGTGTGGGGCAGGATTTGCATACCTTCATAAGATTGTCATAAATAATTTTGTAGCTCAGAATGCTAAAGCTTCAGATAGACCACACGCCAGTTTATTTTAAGATTGATTTATTCACACCGGGTTCTAGTCCCGGTCGGGGCGCCAGATTCTGTCCCGGTTGCCCCTCTTCCAGGCCAGCCCTCTGCTGTGGCCAGGGAGTGCAGTGGAGGATGGCCCAGGTGCTTGGCCCTGCACCCCATGGGAGACCAGGAAAAGCACCTGGCTCCTGGCTCCTGCCATCGGATCAGCGCGGTGCGCCGGCCGCAGCGGCGGCCATTGGAGGGTGAACCAACGGCAAAGGAAGACCTTTCTCTCTGTCTCTCTCTCTCACTGTCCACTCTGCCTGTCAAAAAAAAAAAAAAAAAAAGATTGATTTATTTGTTTGAAAGAGTTACAGAGAGAAGAGGAGAGACAGAGAGGGGAAAGATCTTCAGGTGGAAGCCAAGAGCCAGGAGCTTCTTCAGGTCTCTCACGTGAGTGGCAAGGGCTCAACCACCCAGGCCATTAGCAGGGAGCTGGAATGGAAGTGGAGCAGCCAGGACACAAACTGGCATCCATGTGGGATGGCGGTGCTGCGGGCTGCAGATTCACCAGCTACACCCCAACGCTGGCCCCCGAGCCGAAGGTTTGACATGGTGGTTTTGGTCCCAGTACTGCCTTGTGTGCCCAGGCGTGGCATCTGTGAGGCTCTGAGAAGCTTCCTTGGTGTTCCCTCTGGGCTCCCACAGGTGTCATCCCACTGCCCTAAACAGTCCGCACTCTGGCTCGTCGCCTTGTGGTTGCCTGAGCTCAGGACTGGCTCCACCTTCAATTCTAGAAACACCGAGGGCTGTGGCCAGTTGGCCTAAGTGACCATGGCTGGGCCACAGGTCTCAGCCATAGCTGCTAGGTGTCTTACAGGGTTGGGACCGTGCCATACTCGTGGGTGTGCCCCCCCCCAAGAACACTGGGACACCCGGAGGCCCTGTCCTAAGTGTCAGTGGGAGTTCGGACAAGAGCCCCCTCCCAGGATGTGGCAGAATCTTGGAATAGGGACCTGAAAAGCATAATCAAAATTGCCATTTTCAATCTTAAATTTGTACCTTCTTGCTTAATGGGAAAACAGTTTCTCATGTGTGTCACTCCCCCATTCGCGGAGGAACAACACTAGACCCTGTACTGTTCTCTTGTCTGCTCAGCCCTTCCCAGGTTTGCTGTCGTTCCCTCACTCGCGGAGGAATGACGCCGTCCTGGGTTAGCTGCCGGCCCCCAGCCTCCGCGGAGGGGCGGCACCCCCCGCCACTTTCCCCGCTTCTGCGGAGGAGCAGCACACTGCCGGCCGGCTCTCTCAGGGGCTGCTCAGATGTTATTCAGATGTTCCCCGGTGCATAGTGTCTCTCTCTTCCTTTATAGTCCTCTTCCACCAATCCATGCTCTGCTGCCCACACGCCAAGCACGCTGCTCTCCTCCAATCAGGAGCAGGGTCAGCTCCTGCCACTTGTTAGTCAAACTGATGAGGCAGCTGCGTAGAAGTTGTTTGGTCTCTCTCTCAGCGCCATATTGTGGGAGAGCAGATGCATAGAATTAGTCTTAGTTCCAGTAACTTAGTCTAGTCTCAGTTGCTCCCCACACATGTGCAGTGCACACTCAGAACGTAAATTAAACAAAGTCTTGCCTGGTAGAGATACCAGACAGCAGTGGGTGAGTCAGGGGACATTTCCTGGGGACAGATGGGAAAGGGACAGGGACGTGTGGACTCCACACATACAAAGGGCTTGCCAGGGTCGCTGCAGCTGCTTGGTGAGGCACCTGGTCACTGCCCCAACCCACTGGCCAACCTTGGCATCGTATCAGATGCAGGCATGGGACCACAGTGCACCACAGCATCACACAGCACAAAGGTGCATAATCCTGCCTTAGACCTACTTCCAGCTCGCAGGAAACAAGCAATGATTGAGAAATGAGCTAAAGGCATCAGAAGAAGTGCAGACAAAGCTGGAAGATGGACATCGTGTCAGAACCTGGCAGTCTCCAACAAGTCAATATGGTCAACCAAGGGGTGAGGAAGAACTTTGTCCTGGATTATAAAAGCCATAAGAGGGGCCGGCGCTGTGGCAAGGCAGGTAAAGCCGCTGCCTACAGTGCCAGCATCCCGTACGGGCACCAGTTTGAGTCCTGGCTGCTCCACTTCCAATCCAGCTCTCTGCTATGGCCTGGGAAAGCAGTAGAAGATGGCCCAAGTGGTTGAGCCCCTGCCACTCACATGAGAGACCCAGAAGAAGCTCCTGGCTCTGGAATGGCCCAGCTCCAACCATTGCGGCCAATTGGGGAGTGAACCATTGGATGGAAGACCTTTCTCTCTCCCTCTCTCTGCCTCTCCTCTCTCTGTGTAACTCTGACTTTCAAGTAAATAAATCTTTAAAAAAAAAAAAACCCACCCCCTCAGTAGATGTGTGATGGATGAATGACAGGATCTGAAGCAAGTCCATCCCCTTCTGGGTGCTTTAGGAGCTGGGTGTGTCCATGATACCAGCTCCCGCCTCCTCCCCTGGGGAGCAGCAGCCCATCCCGCTATGGCTTATGCAGGGCTAGAGCTGAGTGGCAGTGGAAAGACGGTCACCAACCCCAGTTCACCTTCCTCTTCAGCGCCGCCAGCTGTGTGCAGGTGGAAGTCAGGGGAAGGTCAGCCCCTTTCCCGGAAGAGAACAAGGGCCTCCAGCCATTTGCAGACGGCCCCCTGTCTGCTGCTGGAACCCCACAGGCCCTGAAACAGGCTTGGCCATGCTCAGCCAGCAGACCCAGCGGGCATTTCTGAGGAAGGCCGTGGCCAGAGGCAGGCTGGCAAGCACACGCCGTGTCCCTGCCTGGCCAGCATCCGAGGACTGGGACCATGG